GTCGGATTTGAAACATAATTTATGTGAAAAACAAGCTAAAATTGAATCGCTAGAGTCAGAATTAGCTACACTTAAAGGGAATTACAAAACTGATTCTGAAAGTACGAGAAATAAACCAGAAAGTATAGATATTAAGCTGACAGGACAAGGCGAAAGTATAATAGAGCTCAAACAATCAACCCAGAAAAAATGCAAAAAAATTGACAATTTGAGAAAATATGCAAATTCTAACATTAATGATGCGGAACGTTCATTTAAAAACATTCAAAATCAATCGAATGCTACTAATCAAAATTTAGACAATGATAGGCCTATGGCGATTAACATCGAGTCAGAGGATCCAAACGACAATAGTAATGATAATAGAGGTCCGAAATAACATTTGCTGCGGTGTTAAAACAAAAAGCTAATCATTCCCTAGAGTCAAACACAAAAAGATCAGGTTCAGAAAATAATGGAAATTCACTAATCACTAGAACATGGATTGACTAACCAAAATCAATCGGAAGTGAATAACAATCAACAGATCGTCCTCGAGGATAATACCAACTCTGAATTTGTTGGTGTAGCAAGAAGAGTGGTAAACAGATTGTATCTCGGTGGAGCTCGGGAGGGCGCGACATCGGAGTTAGTTACTGAATATATGGAGCGTAAAGGTATTTCTCCAACTGTTACAGTATAAGGATTTTCAAAAGTAAAAGAAAAGGTACTGTGGCCATTCGCATTAATGTTAATAGTAGGGATTACGAACGGGTTTTGCAAAATGATTTTTGGCCGGAGAATGTGTACGCACGACCATGGGTATCACAGGCCAAACGGCAGGACAAAAATAAGGAAACTTAGGATTTCAGACAGTTTTATCAAGAGCTTCAATCACACTACGTTATGAATGAAAAAATCCGGAAGGGCATAGACTCCTTGCTGTTTTCTATACAAATGCTAGAAGTATAGTTAACAAAGTAAACAAGCTGGACTTGGAAATAGCTAATGGTTCTTACGATATTATTGTTTTAACCGAGACGCACCTGGACAGTAGCATCGGTGATGCAGAGATATTTCCTATAATTATACGGTGTTTAGGCGTGACAGAAATATAAATGGACGTCATGGTGGTGGGGTCCAAATTGCGGTATTAAACTCGATCAATGTTTATCCCAGAGATGATCTTTACTGTAGCTCAGAGCTGATGTTTGTTGAGATTGTATTTTCGAATAATCGGAGAACTACGTTAGGAGTTTTCTATAGGCCACCGGATTCAAACACCGAACCACTAATTGATCTTAGAACTAATCTGGACAAACTGTCTACGTCTGACCTTGTGCTTTTAGGGGATTTTAACCTGCCTGACTTCTCTTGGTCGAACAATACTGCTTTAAGTAACTCTGAAAATTATTCAATATTAATGGATATCATTCAGGACAATTTTCTAACTCAGTTGGTTATTGAACCCACGAGGGAACATAATGTACTTGATCTTGTTCTAGCAACTTCATCTGATAGCATAAAAAGCCTATCAGTCGGTGAAAAGTTTTCAGACCATAATATGATTACGTTTCTATTAACTGGGCAACCATATGTCCAGCTTAAATCCAAAAAATATGTTTATTGTTACAAAAAAGCTGATTGGTTACAACTGAAATTAACGTTGTCTCAAATTCCATGGAACTTAGCATTTCTTGAAGAGAGTATTGTTGAGAATTGGAATTCATGGAAAGATCTGTTTTTTGCAGCAGTAGATGAATGCATCCCGAAAACAAAAGGGAAAAAAAGACAAAACGCGCCGTGGATTAATAAAGAGCTAATATCTCTATGTAGGAAGAAGAAGCTACTTTATAAAAAAGCAAAACGGAGCCAAAATGAAAGTACCTGGATTCGTTATCGTCAAATGAATAACAATTTGAAAAGGAAGTGCAATGAAGCTCGGTGGAGGTATATAACCGATTTAGCTCAAGATTTGACAGATAACGACAATCCCAAACCATTTTGGAACTTTGTGAAATCCAAGTGTAAAGGAACAAATAAATTGATATCCCTGAAAGTTGGAGAATCTGTTTTCACTGACGACCAAGGTATTGCAGATAGCATGAACTCGTATTTTTCTTGTTTTTACAGTTGAAAATTATGATAATATCCCAGTGCTTGACTATATTGTGGACGAGAGATTAGAGAACATCCGTTGTTCTGTTGACGAAGTAGGAAAGCTTCTTCTAAATCTTAAGGTAGAGAAGTCCCCGGGACCTGACAATATCCCTGCACGTATTCTAAAGGTATGTGCAACAGAGCTGGCACCTTCAATCTCACTTTTGCTAAATAAGTCATTCTCGATGGGCATGCTACCTATAGAGTGGAAAACTGCCAACATTACACCGATTTTTAAAAAAGGTTCGAAGAATAGTAGAGAAAACTATCGTCAGATATCTCTTACAGGGATTATATGCAAAATAGGTGAGAAAGTTGTTCGAAGTAGAGTTCTCGATTTCTGGTATAGAATGAATATTTTGAGTGAGAATCAGTTTGCCTATTTGAAAGGCAAGTCAACAGTAACACAACTACTATCAACTGTTGATGATTGGGTGAGATCTAGGAACTCCGGCGTGCCCACTGATGTTATATTTCTTGACCTCGCAAAGGCGTTCGATAGTGTGCCGCACGAAAGATTGATTTTGAAGTTAAGAAGTTATGGTATCGAAGGGAGTTTATTGACATGGTTTAGGCATTTCATTACAGGCAGGAAGCAACGTGTTGTAATTAGAGGGACCTTTTCGGAATGGTCACCAGTGTCTTCAGGCACTCCTCAAGGTACAATACTTGGACCAATTTTGTTTTTAATATACATTAATGATATAACGGACTGTATTTTATCTAAAGCCAAACTGTATGCCGATGACACTAAAATTTATAGAGAAATAAAAGATCCTGTCTTGGACACGC